CTACTTGAACAACCTTGGAAACTGGCTTGGCACGCGATTTGACCGGACTGGGTCCATGGACAATCTCAACCGGGCGGTGGACGTTGCCAACATAGCAGTCGAAGCCACTCCTCAGGACCACCCCGATCGAGCTGCCATCTTGAGCAACCTTGGAAACAGGCTTGGCACGCGATTTGAGCGGACTGGGTTCATGGACGATCTCAACCGTGCCCTATCCTGTTTCAAGGGAGGTTGGGATTGCCATACTTCCCCACCATCTATACGCATTGGTCTCGGTCGGCGTGCCGCTGATATTCTTGCCTCCCAGCAAAACTGGGAAGAATCATATAACTTCCTGCATCGCGCTGTAGAGCTTCTCCCAACCGTGAGCCCGCGGCAGTTGGACAATAATGATAAGCAGCATATACTCGGACAGTTTGCTGGATTAGCTTCTATGGCTGCAGCCGTCGCTCTCAATGCAGAAAAGGAGGTGCAATATGCCTTGGAGCTATTGGAGCTTGGCCGCTGCGTTATCGCTGGTCTGTTGTTAGAATTGCGCACAGACATTTCCGACCTCAGAGAGCAGCATCCCAGATTAGCGACGGAATTTGAGATCCTTCGGAATAAGCTAGACGCGCCTTCCAGTGGGATAGGTCTAGTGGGCGATGCAACACCTTCATGGACATCCCAAGCCAATCGGCGGATTGAAGCAGACCAAAAATTCAATCTGGTTATTGCAAAAATACGCGATCAGCCTACCTTCCAGAACTTTCTTCTTCCGCCGACTCGTGACGAACTCATGGCTGCCGCAGACCAAGGCCCCATCGTTATTATCAACGTAAGCTCGTACCGTTGCGATGCGTTTCTTATTGAGCATCATCGGATTAGGGTGTTACCACTACCTAACCTAACAGAGGAGAAGCTAAACCAAAGAGTCCAACAGCAGTCGGTTGGATCAACACCAGTCTTACAGTGGTTGTGGAAAGCGGCTGCAGCACCTATCTTGGACGCACTAGGACACCAACAATTGCCATCTAACAACTGGCCTCGGGTATGGTGGATTCCGACAGGAGCGCTAAGTCACTTTCCAGTTCACGCAGCGGGATTTCACACCAAAGGATCGACCAAGACAGTGCTCGATAGAGTTATGTCATCTTACAGTTCATCTATAAAGGCACTGGTATATGGACGCCGACATAGTGTCCATAGAACGACTGAATCTGGGTTGGAGCAAGCTCTTCTAGTTGCCATGCAAGAGACCCCATGCCTCCCAAGAAGCTCAGCCCTTCCTTTTGCCACCAAAGAAGTAGAAATGTTAGTCGACCTCTGCCCGTCGCTACAGCTGAAAGCGGTTATGCCACTACGGCGCAGGGAAGAAGTTCTGGCTCACTTGCGGGCCTGCAAGATTTTCCACTTTGCTGGCCATGGACGTTCAGATCCCCTGGATCCTTCGCAAAGCAGTCTGCTCCTAGATGACTGGGAGAAGAGCCCATTAACTGTAGGAGATCTCCGCGACCATAGAATTGCAGAGAGCTCACCGTTTCTTGGCTATCTCTCGGCCTGCTCGACTAGCACGAACAGGGTGGGTAGGCTTGTCGATGAGGGAATCCATCTAGCGAGTGCCTTCCAGCTTGCGGGGTTCCGGCATGTTATAGGAACGCTCTGGGAAGTGTCCGACATTCACTGTGTAGACGTTGCTAGGGTAGTGTACGAGACGATCCGGGACGAAGGTATGACGGACGTGGCGATATGTCGGGGCCTCCATCAGGCGGTCAGGGCGCTGCGGGATGGGCACATTGAGTCAACGAAAGAGGCGAGAGATGCGGAGCTTAGCGATGGGGAGCTTAGCGATGGGGAGGTTTGCGACGAGGGTTGTGAGACTACGCTAGAGAGCCCGCTCTATTGGGCTCCGTATATTCACTTTGGTGTCTAGGGGTGGACTGAACTACCATCACATCTCTGCTGTGCCTTACCCAGCGCTCATGAACACTTACGATCCGAACTTTTCGTTACTTTGAAGCACCTCTCCACGACCCTAAAGATTGCAGTGCTCATGTAAGGAGCCGTTCGTTGTTTGACCGTGTGATAGCTGTATCACCAAAACATGGCGAGCCTTTCCACCTTCGTATATGCTTGCAGCGACGGCGTTCTGCCAGTGATTCTCAACCCACTCACCGAGGCGCGCAGCTGCCATACCCACTATGGCTGAGGCCCACCTATCCACTCCATCCTATCTCTCCTGTCCCGTCTTATTCCCCTTTAAGGGGCACCTATTTCGCTCGGTCAACGGCGGTACTAACGGCGGTACTAACGGCGGTACTAACGGCGGTACCAACGGCGGGTCTACGGAGCTTGAGGGCGATGCGACGATGTACAGCTATCTCACGGAGGTTATCAAGGTAGATATGATCGTGCGTTGTACCACATCTCGAAGTTGTACGATAACTGCGTGGAAAGCTGATTGCGGTGTCAAGGCGCACGCGCTAGTTGATTGAACAAGCGCCGGGGCGTTTCGGAACTTCAGCCCTGCTCCCAATCTAGAGTCGGATTTTATGATACCCCGAGCGCTTGGCAAAGTCTTCGCGGAGCCATAAGTCACAGTTATTATAAATAAATTACGCAGCTATAAGTATGTACGTAAGACGCGGGGTTGTTTCGCACTAGCCTAAATCAGTAGTTGGTTCGATCGGAAGTACCGACCGGGGTGGCGGCCTTGTATGAATTTGCGAGCGACACCAGGCTTCAGGCTGATAATGACTTCCTATCATGGTATTAAAGCTCTAAGGCTCGGGTGAGAACTTTGCATTTTGTTTATAAGTAGTAAAAGCATGATGGTGGTACTGCACCAAACAAAGATTGTTTCGCTCTAAAAGAAGGCTCGTAGTGAATCAGGCAAGAAGACGACAATGCGAATGTGATTTATAGATTAGAAAGATTTTAGATGTTTAGAAGTAGCTACAGCACATTATTTACACAAAATTTTAATGAAGCTAGGCGTCTGTGCAGAGTTATAGTTGTTTGAAGTCAAAGTACTCCTGATATTTTCCGGAACGGTGGGTTTTCCGGCATGTAGGGAGGGACGTTAGCTCAAAGAAGCGGGAGCACCTGTATAGCCGCCACTAGGGCGGCTGGGACAGCCTATGAACCAATCAATCAATTAATTAATCAATTAATCAATCAGTTAGCGGAAAAAACACCACCAACAGCTCAGAACAAATTTTTGGAAACGCGTTATAATTTGCAATCCCTACAGTTTTCCGGTGTCCCTGTAGGCAATTACGCCAATTGACGCGTGAAAACACGTCGAATTGGTGGTGATGGCGCCTCAGTGGCCACAGGTAAACAATGGCCCAGAACACATCAACGAGCACGCCACATACCTCAGAGAAGCATGCAACCAGCTGCAGGCCGTAGACAGAGGCAAGCAGAACCAAGTGCCATGGCACATAGTGCAATCGTACATTGCATCCACCATCACGCTCGTGGGCAAGGTGCTTCGGCAACCTGCAATAAGCGAGATACTCCACCACATCCAGGATGCCGCTAAACACACGCAGAACATCTAAAGAGACATCTCAGTTATTAAAAACTCGGTCGGATGGAGCACTGCCCCGCCGCATGCAGCTAACTTCAGCCGAGACAAAGGCGCAGCCTCTACCTGGGCGCAGGTAGCAGCCCACGCCAAAGGCTCTCCTCCTATACCTCCGCTACTAGCACCACAGCGCACACAGGATACCAAGGCCTAATCTACAGTTATATTATATAAAAACCGAGCAGTTACAGTAAAACTTAAGGACCCCGGAGTTGCCCAGAAACTTCGGACGCTCCCTGCCGTTAAGATAAGGAACTAAATAGAAACATCTATCCGCGATAATGCAGCCACTAAATCAGTTATAGTTATTACTGCCTATTAACTTAAAAGCGGTAATATACAGGTATTTACCTCTTCTATAGCAGAAGCTATAAAACTTAAAGAAAATAATAGATAGATTAGCAGCCTTAAAAAATACGCAGAACTTATTATACTAACCTATAGTATTATTATTTATAGTATCTTTATAAACTCTATTAATATTAAGAACTAAAAAGTAACTATTTAATAGATACTTACAGATAACTATACAGTTATTCCGAAAGTAGAGATCTTATTTATTAGATAGCTAACGCGAGAATCCCCCCTTAAACGCGTATTCTTAATTATAGTAGAATTTAAAGACCCTAAAATAGCCAACGCTATTATCTATACTAGAATAGCCTGGAAAGAATAAATCTATATCTACTAACTCTATAACTAGGCCTGTAAAATAAAGTAATACTTCCGCTGCTATAATTATAGTTATACCGGCGCCTAATATAATACAGCGCAAAAATACGGCTATTGCGCTAAACTATATAAATCTAAGAACTATAAGCAGAAAGGAGTAGAAAGCTTTACTTTAATATACGCAGTCTATAAAGGTATCTATATAGCCTAGAGTAATACCTGCCCAGTAAAAAAGAAAAAAATAGATAGAGTTAAGCAAGCTAAACAGGCCCGGAGTATTTACTAGTATATTCTATTAAAGGATAACCCTCTTAAAAAGAGCAGTATACGGAAAATATACCACTACGCCTAAAATATTGCAGCCTGCTAAACTATTACTATATTAGACTCCTTTATAAAAAAACCCTTAAGCTAAATACCTACTACTCTAGAGGCCTTAATATAGGCGAGAGAGTCTGCTCTAGAACCTCTAACACTTCTAGAAATAATAGATATATATACACCCGGCAATCTATTATTTGCAGAAGAATAGATAATACTAGTAATATAATAAAACACGATATTATAAGAACCAGCTATTAACCTAAAGATATTAATAGCTAAATAATTACAGACAGTTGCTTAAATAGTAAATACTACCTCTAACCTAGATACTAATAAAGTAATACCTATAGCTAACCTGCTAAACTAGCTACCTATATACCCTATTAATAATACGCAGAAGGATTTTAGTACATAAAATACTAATATATAGCTAGCTAACCTAGTAAATAATTTCGACAGGGACTAGCTATATAATACGGCAGAGACTATAAAATCTTTACTAACCTTAATAGCAGTAGACACCTATATAATAAAAGGAAAACTCTATAAAGAATATAATTATCTACAGCACTAGGAAATTTATAATAACTAGCTAATATATAATACTAAGCTAACTATAGCCTAATATATAAAGATATATATATACTATAGAAGAGACTTTATATACACAGCCGAATTGCGTATATATTTAAAAAAAAAAGTAGATTACGCTTAAAGGAACTTAATAATATACTAAAAAATATAAGAAAGAACTAGTATATCTACCCCTAGCTAGAAAAGTATAACCCTAAAGTCTCTATCCCGCCGAACAGGAACCTGTGCGGCTTAAAGCCAATTCCTTATATATAGTACTAACGCCGCACTAAATTAATACTAGAATACTAGGAACTACACATTTTATAGTATAATATCTAGAAGTTAAAAGATATTATCCTTGCCAGCCTATTCTAAAATCTAAAAATACTTAAATATAATATCTTAGTAATCTAGAAGCCCTGGCGTAACCTATTTATTACTATATTCTACTATTCTCTTAAAATGTATTTCTAACTAACCTACCTTAATAACGCTAGTATACGGGTATACTTTTATATTAATAAACGCATTAACCCTAGCACTTAGACCGTATTATATATTACTAAGAATATTACCTTCTTAGCAGTTCTTAACCCTTATACCGGCAAAAATATTTATATCTTTAATATATATAATAAAGTAATAACCGATATACTTTCTAAACTAGCTAATACTATTAAAAAACTAAACTTACTTAAGAAAACTATTATACTTAAAGACTTTAACCTCTACTACCCTTTTTAGTTAGCAGTATACTAATACACCGGGACGGGGCTAAACGCCCAACTGCTTCTTATAATAATTAAGGATTTCTAGCTACAACTTCTAATAGCGCCTGGGACCCTAACTTACTAATAGAAAAATAGAAACTTAATAATAGACCTTATCTTTACCTTAAAGAAACTAGCACCGCGTATAACCTACTATAAAATAGATAGAAGCCTAGACTATAACTTTAACCACCTTTTAATTATTATAGCAATTAACTAGAGCTAGTAATAAGCAGCACTCCTAAAAAAGCGCCTATAGGCAAAAACGGATATAATAATACTATAATAAACGGTTAAGAAATATCTTTCCTAGATATCTAAAACTAAAATTAGAGGCGAAGTATTATAAAACTAAGAAAGTATTATAGGAAACAGGTTGTTAATTATAACTAGGAAGAATCTATAAGGAGCTACGGCAGCGCCAGCTCTATAGTTATAGTTCGGCTTGCGTGCACGGACTATAAGGGTCACGTGACCTTTACGCACGTAATAGCGCGCGACCTGTATACCCTATGCGGGGCGCGGAATATAGCTATTACACCTTCACCCTTCTTAAGGAAACTACCTACTATCCTAAATTTATATCCCTTTTATTATTATTATAGAGAGGCCGAAAGGGGAATAGGAGAACTATAGAGGCTGTAGATAAAATAGGAAGACTATAAAGGTTATACGCGGCCTTTATTAGCGGAGGTTGCGCGCAGCCTTTGCTATTTAAAGTACGGTAGAGCCTTCTTTTTATCCGAGCTAGAAGTCCTTAATAGAAGAACCTTTTATTAATAACTTAGCTACCGGCGGCTGGGTTATAGCTTTAGTATAAGGCGTGGCTCGGCGACGTCTTTAAAGTTTTATTAAAGCAAAAAGCGGCTCCTAATTAGCTAGTTATATATAAGTTAAATAAGGCGGTTTGCCTATATATTTATAGTGCTAATTAGCTACTAAATAGGGGCTTTTATTAAAGTTGTCCTAATCCTGCTATAGTAGGTTCTAATTCTAAATATTATATTCTAGGTACAGCGCTTTATATTAGAGGAAGCCGCGTGCCCGTATTAGGTTCTTATAATTTTGTCGCCTTCTATCGCGTTATATAATACGCCTAATATTATGCTAGTCGTGGCCTTTTTTATTAATTAGCGTTAGTTCTAGCGGCTTCTAGATCTATCCTTTTATAGAATAGGTGTTGTTAATATAGTAGAGTAGCTAAGGGTGGAAAACTAGAAAAATCTTTATATACTTAGGAAGTTTAAGCTTATAGGTATAGTTTTTAATACGCTCGGCAATATAATACAGACCTAGGTGCTTATAGTTAAGTAATTTATTTAGACGCTAGGTTTTAATAAAGCAATAATCTAGTATAACTATATTGCCTACCTGGAACTCCGGCACAGGCTGTTAATAAGTATTAGCATATTCCTTTTATTTAGCCTAAGCCTATTATAGTTCTTTATAACACTATTTACAGAGGCCGTTAAGTTTATTAATAAGTTTATTAGCCTATTCCTAGAGCTGTTATATTAGACCGCTTCTATTATAGTTTTTAGCTAGTTTAGTATCTAACTGTAGAATATATCCTTTAGTTACTAGATATAGGGCAACCTTTATTAAAGAGTTAATATCTATATTAGCTTTAAACTTGGCAATTAGAAGCAGGTTAGCCTAGTTATCTTATTTATAATTAATATATATGCGGAGGTATTACTTAAAAGCTAGATTCGCGCTTTTAGTAAGGCCGTTAGTTTTAGAATAAAAGGAAGTAGACAGCTTTAGAGTAGTTCTAAGTTGTTTATAAAGGCGCTGCTAGAAGTATAATATCTATTAAGTTCTACAGTTAGCCGTTATACTACGCGGGTAACTTTTCTCCTGCTAGACCTATTTAATAAAGGCCTAGGCTATATTAGCTAGTTCTATTAAATTAAAAGCAATAAATTTCTTTTTCCTTAACAGTCTATTATATATAACTATAATATACTTATAGTTGCGGCCGTGTTATATATAGACTAGAAAAGGCGTAATAAAATTAACTATAATATCCGTCTAATACTGGTCTAGAATAGGAAGGGGCTTAAAAAGCCTATACTTACCTGTACGGACGTGTTTTATTCTCTTATATATTATATAAGCGCCGACGTAATAATTAATATTATAAGTTATTCCCGGCCAGAAGTAAAAGCGGGCAATATATGCGTAGGTAGAAGTTGTACCTTTATAGCCTATAGGTTTTAGGTTATATATATATTAAATAGCTCTTATATATAGTGTTTTATTAATTAGAATATATAAGCGGCTGCAAATATATACTAGGCCGCTAATAATCTTGCAGTTGCCTAGCTTTAGGTATAGCTTATATTTTTAATAGAGGGCGCGTAGCAATTATTAAACGCTATTCGCCTTTGCGTTAATAATAGCTTAAGTAATTAGATCTATTTACTGCTTAATTCGGATATCTTCCAAAATAGCTTTGCTTATGTCCGGAGAGTTCTCTAATAACTCGCCTCCGTCTTTCTAATCCGTCTAGCGCTAAGTACCTAATACCTTATTAGCGCTGTTAGGCTTAGTAAGCTTAGCTTCTTAACTATAGTTATTACCGGCTATATTTTTAGTAGTTATAGAATACTAAGTACCTTTTACCTTATTAATATTTTCTAACTTACTAATTGCGTAGAGGGTAATAGCTAAGTTAATTATAGAACAGGCGACTTTATTACTAGTAAAAATTGCGGCAAGGTTAATAGTATAGTGCATGCTAGGCTCTAAGTATTTAGACTTAAGAACGGTTTAGAAGTTAACCTTAATCCGGTTGTTAGCTTTATTATCTGTAATATCGCCTAGGCGGCGCGTAAAACTGTCGGCGATAGTATTGTTCTTTCCTGCCTGCTAGAATAGCTTAAAGTTAAATTTAGATAAAAATTCGGCCTAGTAGGCTTAACGGCGGTTAAGTTGCTTACTAGTTATAAAGTACTGCAGGTTTTTATAGTTAGTGAATACTTTAAAGCCTTCCTATAGGCCTAGCAGCTCTAGCTGCTATTTTTTAAATGCTTAAATAATTGCTAAAAGCTCTTTATTATAGATCTAATAGTTAATTTACTATAGAGTTATTTTATAAGATATAAAGGCTACAGGACAGAGTTTACTATTAGCCTGGATTTATAACAGCACGGCTCCGGTAGCTCTATTAGAAGCGTTGGCGTGGACGTAGGTTTCCAGTGTCGGATTAAAGTAAGCAATAACAGGCGCGTCGCGAAAGGCGTTTTTAATAGCCTGGAAATATTACTATTATATAGAGTTAGCAGGCTATAGAAATATAAAACAAACCTTAGAAAATATAAGTATTATTAATAGGCTAGATATATCGGAGAATAGTTCTATAAATCTCCTATAGAAGTTATAGAATCCTAGGAATACTTATATATTCTTAAGCTTCTGTAGAGTAGGCTATTTAAGTATAGTCTTTATCTTATCTGGGTCTATTTTAATTCCGTTAGCCGTAATAATTATTCTAAGGTATTTAACTTCTATAACCTAGAATTCGCATTTATTAATATTAAGGAAGAGGCCTGCTTTATCTAGCTTAGCTAGCACCTTTTATATATATTCTATATAAGCTTCCTTATTATTTTCTTTTATATAGATAAGGATATTGTTTATATATACTATAGCAAAGTTGTTAAGGTATTCTAGTAGTATATTATTAATAAAGGCTTAAAAGGTAGAAAGCGTATTATAGAGGCCGAACAGGAGAACGGTGAATTTATATAGACTATATCTTATTAGAAAGGCTATAAACTTTTTATTGCCTTTGCGCATGCGAATTATATTAAAAGCTGCAATAATATTAAGTTTAGTAAACCGGCGCGCTTTATAAAGGAGTAGAAAAGTGTTTTAAAAAGCCGGTGGTATATTATAGGCCTTAAGCGTTGCAGTGTTAAGACCTCTATAGTTAATATAAACGCGCAAGCCGCTATTTAGCTTCTTAACTATAATAACAGGCGAGTAGAAGTTGGAGCAACTCTTGCAGATAAAGCCTTTACCGTATATATTATCGATATATTCCTTTACTATAATAGAATTATTCCTAGACAGGCCGTATATTCTCTTTATAGGGTATTTTGCGTCCGGGAGAAGCTTAATCTTATAGTTAACGTCTATCTAATATAGGGGAAGCTTATCCGCTTCCTTTAGGTTAAATAGATGGATATAGTTGCGGATTATACGCGGAAAACGGTTATAGAGTTTATCGCGGTTAATTAGGGCTGTTCTTATTTTCTTAAAGAACTTTTTATAGTTTTCTTATATTATTACAGAAACCTTAACAATAATATTATTAATCTAGGCATTAAGGTTAATATCTTTTAATAAGCGTGTCCGGCGCATAGGCTTATAGGGGACGCTTTCTTCTATAGCTTTAGCTTCGGCGTCGCGGTCGGCTACTGCGGCGTTAAAATTATTGGCCTATATCTTGCTAGTAGCTCCTTTATAGTGTTTATTTAATTTATAGGCTATTTTAGTACTGCTAACTTTCTCTAAATCTAGCGCGGCGTACTTTATTTTAATAGCAGCCAGCTTAGCTTTAAAAAGCTGTTTCCCTTTTTTTGCAGCTACTTTATCCTTTTTATCCGGGCTGTTGCTCTAGATACGGACTGTATAGTTGTTGGATATATAGTTTACTATATAGTAGTCCGATTTAAGGATAAGGCAACGCCGGCCAAAAATAAAGCGCGGGAGGTAGAAATCTATCTATAGCATGCCTAGGATAATATTATAGGCGCCCAGATCTATAATAAAGCAGTATATTATTTTAATATAGTTGCTAATAAGTAGTATAACTTCGGCTTTATAAGTAAGGGCTAGCACAGCCTTACTATTAGCTAGACGTAGCTTCTAAGGCTTTGCCAGTAGAATTAGAATAAGGCTGTGCTTTTTAGCGTATTATCTATTAATAAAGAAGGATTCTAAGCAACCTGTATTAGCTAATAATTTGGCAGAGCGTTTGCCCTATCTAGTATTAATTTTAGTAAAGAACTTAAGGGCCCTCTTTAAGCTAGCAGTTGCGTTTAGAAAAAAGGCTAATATAATAATATTATTAGCAGAGCTATTAGGCTTAGCAGGGGGTTATTCTAGCTGTCTAATTTTATCCTAAAGAAGCTAAAATATATTACGCGTCTACTATAATAGTAAATATCCCTAGCGTTAATTTTTGCTAGGAACTACTCTTCCCCTAATAAAAAGTAGTTCTTATTACCTAAGGCCTTAACTATAGCGGCCTCTAGGTATACCTTATTATTAACGCGCTCGGCCTGTTCCTGCTTAAGCTATTTAAGAGATATAAGGTTAATTCTAATTTTATAAAGCTTCTTTTTAGTATTTTTATAGGTAGTAGTTTTACTAAATATAGGATAAGTAGGCCCTGGGCGGTGTCCTATATCTAAATAGCAGAAGCAGCGGTCCTGCTTTACTAGGAGCTTAGTAATATATCGCAGGAGACGGAGTAGAGGCTTGTCGGAAGCACCTGCAGGGCGGTTTTTATCGCGCTAACCCTTATAGTAGTTATTATATTAACTATTTTATTAGCCGTTGCAGCGGTTATAGTTATTACCTTTATCCTAATAATAAGGGCGGTTTAGTTAGTTGCAAAAGGCCCGCTTTTCTTAAAGCTTTTTATTAAGTTTATTAATAGAGCGCGCGGCTATATAGGCGCGGATATAGAACTATTAAAAGGAATTAAACTTACTTCTATTAAAAATACGGCTCTAGAGGGAGGTTATTATCTTATACTCTATCTAGTTAATCTTTTAAATATTAGAGTAGTAAAAAGGCGTAAAGTAGGTTTTTATACGGGTAAGGAAGGTATTAAAAGATTCTATTTTTTTTATATTAAAATCCTTACTATACAGCTTATTGCCCGCTTTAACCTCTATATTATAATTACCGAATTTATTTTCTAGTTCTTAGAATATCTTTTAAATAGTATAGAATAGATTATTACTAGCCAGCTTTACTTACTTTTTAATAGATTAAAAGGCAGTGCCTTTTAGATAGGTATAAATATACTTAATCTTAGAGTTCTCTATTAGGAATAGGGTAATACTACTCTTAACTTTATTCTAGGCGTAAATAAGCTATTTCTTAAACTTATTATAATTCTTATCTCTATAAAAGTTCTAAAGATTAGGAAACTTCTTATTATTAAGGATTTCCTCTTCGCTAGTATCTAAGCGCTGGTCTGCACCACCGCGAAGTCCGGTAAAAAAAAGTAGGTATAATATCGCGGTAGTTATCTGGCTTACTATACAGTTTATTTATATTATATATACTTTCTATATTATACAGTCTATTTAAATATATACTTCCTATATTCTGTATACTTCCTATATTCTATATACTATAAGCTATACGCAAGTAATTTATATTAGGAGGTGTTCTATATACTAGGGCTTTTACGGAAGCAGCTATAGATATAGGGGCTTCCTAGGCCTAGTAAAGGTTATTAAAAAAGGCAGTATAGTCTTTATTATTAGAACTATAGCTAGGGGTAAAGGTAATAAATTAAGTATATTGCTGGGGTTAAGACTGCTCTAGGCAACAGATCTTCTTCTCTAGCCCTACCTTTTTAGCTTAGAGGGCAATATTCTTAGCGTTAATATGCTCCGCTTTATTATAGAAGTCTATTACCTTATTATATAAGCGTTAGTGTATAATAATAGAGGCCTAGAGTTAAGCAGAAAGTTTATTATAATAGTTAATGCGCTTAACCAGCTATATATTAATATCCGCTAGGTCTGCGCAGTAATTAACGTTGGCCTGGCGTAAGTATTTAAGCTTATATTTAGTCTTAGATAGCTTTATAGAAAAGGCGTCTAAGTTTTACTAAAAATAGTCTGCTCTATTATATAGTCCGGCGGCCTGTATATATACTATGTTTTTATACTTATTATAGATGCCTTATATACTAGACAGGTAGTAAATCTAGTTAAACTACTTATTACCTTAGGCCTAGACTAACTCCTAGAGTTAAGTTATTATTATAATTTTATACCGGACCTAGTTATCCTCGCCCTTATTAGCTCTAACGCCTAGAATAAGGTTATTATTCTTTTTAATAAGAAAAGTAGAACGCCGGCCTTAATAGGCCTTAAAGAGTCGCAAACTATAGGCGGCTATCTCTCTGTTAAAAGTAGTAAAAATATTATTATTTTTAGCAGCGGAAAGTGCTGCAGTTGTCTTACCGTTGTTATATACTAGGGCGGTTAACTAAGTTCCGGTAGGGGCGCCGCCCTTATTATTATCTTTATTATTAATATCTAAATTATCCGGGTAAATAAGTTTGCCTTCCTTCTATTATATTGCGCAGGCTTGCAGGATTATAGTAGACTCTTCAGGCTTAGAACTAATATAAGTACCGCGCTGGCATATCTAGGAATTAGTGCCTAGAGTCTCTTATATTTCTGCCTGTAAAGCCGCTGCTGGAATTAGAGCTATATTAGGGCGGAGGGCGTGGCGCGTTATTAACAACGCACCTGCGGCGGCGGGGGGAATAGTTAGTTTCTTTTTAATTTTCTTTACTCCTTTTTATAGGGAACCTGGAGTAGTAACTATAGCTTAATAAAGAAGAAAGAAAAGCGCCTTTACCTAGGCGGAGTTAAAGTAGTAAAAGAAAAAAGTTATCGGGCTGTTAGCAGTAGTACAAGCACTCTAAATTAGGCTAACAGCGACGTTGTGCGTTAAAGGAGTAGTAGTAGTAGTAGTAGTAGTAGTAGTAGTAGTAGTAGTGCTCCTGTCTTTCCTAGAGCAAGGAAGATAGATTCTTAGTATTATAGAACTAAGGGGGTATTATAGGAAACAGGTTATTAATTATAACTAGGAAAAATCTATAAGAAGCTATGGCAGCGCCAGCTCTATAGTTATAGTTCGGCTTGCGTGCACGGACTATAAGGGTCACGTAACCTTTGCGCATATAATAAATAGCGCGCGACCTGTATACCCTATACAGGGCGCAGGATATAGCTATTACACGAAGATAGTATTAATATATTAGTTTTATCTATTATTAAAGCCTTTAATACAGGTATTAATATATCTATACTATAGTTTAACCTATTCCCTTAATTAACCGCTAGGTTTAACCAGGAATATAAAAATATCTATATAGAAGTTTAATAGCTCTACCGGAAGTAGCAGTAAATAAAGCAGGATAATAACTATAAGGCCTACTAATAGGCGTGCAATAAAAAAGGCTAATATATTTATAAGAGCCTCTATTATACCTATTTATAGAGAGTAGAAAAGGTATTAAAGTTATAGTCGGGCCTTTAGAAGCTAGTTAAATAGGCTAAGAATAAATATAACCTATTATCTGCATGCACCCCAGCGCTAAAGAAACCGGATAGAGAACTCGCCAACCAGCCCGAAAAGAAGGCCGATATGCTCTGCTAGTTCTTCTTCCCCCTACTACCTTAAGCTAACCTCTCGGACTTTAAAAAGTACGCGTACCCTCCCCTAATTAAGTGCCCGGATATTACTATACTAGAAATTAAAAAAGCAATCCGCAGAGCCGCCCTAAATAAAGCCCCTAGAAATAACAGTATTACTAATAGTATTTTCTATAAAACGCTTAATATTTTTCTTCTAAGCTTTAGTAAGCTTTTTAATATATACCTCTACTATAGCTACTATTCTATATATTTTAAGAATATAATAACAGTAGTTCTCTAAAAACTAGGAAAAAATAACTATATACAGCCGAAATTATATAGGCTAATTACCCTTCTAAATATATTAGAAAAGGCGCTAGAAGCTATAATTACAAACTAACTCGCATATCTCGCTAATATATATTAACTTTTTCTAAGCTAATATATAGAAGGCCGGAAACTTACGTTAATAGAGTATACTATATATTTTCTTTTTTAATAGATATACTAGGCATAGTCTAAAGGTAAGGTAGCCTTCCTACTACTGCTTAATATATCCGGAGTATATAATAATATCTTGTAAGACCGACTTTTTTATAACCTTTAAAAATATAGAGTTAGCTAGAATATTATATAATAGATAGAGAGCTTCCTAAGTAACTATTCTACTACCCTTAAGCTATAAAAATACACCGCTCTGTTGGCCCCTATTTAAACCGGGATTCCGCAGGAATTGCCCGTCTCGCTAATTCTATATCTATTCTATAACGCCAACCTAATTAAGGTATATAAAATAGAGAAGATAGAAGTAGTAGAATATATTAACAATATATTAATACTAGCTATAGGCCCGACAGCGCAACGCAACTATAAAACTCTTAAAGGTATCTACTAACAGGCTAAGTAATAGGTAAAGACGCATAGCTCCTAGTTTGCACCGGCAAAATATAAGCTTATGTACTTTATAAAAGACCCTTAGGTAAATAGTATTTACGCCCTCTATCTACTATATACTATAATTAATACCTTTCTATTATACTAATACCTAGGTATTTATATAGATACTAAACTCCGGTAGAAGCACTATTATAAAAAGATTAAAGCAGTAGCAATAAAACGTCTTTTAGCCCTATTAGCCTTAGTATTTTTAACCTAGGGAATAGGAATAGTTAACCTTCGCTATATATATAGAGTAATAATTATACCTTAGATAATATATAGCTGTTTAGTATAGTATATCCCCGGTAAAGGCCGTATAAGTAGAGGGGCGTATATAGTTAGCGCTATTAAGAAAGTGCAGAGGAGGGCAGCCTAGATTATTACTAGCGCATTCCGGATAACTGCGGGAGCGGCGGTGGATGTTAAAGCCCATCTACTTCCTAGACAACAGCAGCTTAAGAAGACTACACTAAAAGTAGTAATACGCATTAGAACTAGCCCTGTATTTATAGATATAACCTAATTAGAGAACACCGGTATATTACTAAGGAACTGCTGTAAAAAGAACGCTTGGAGCCCGCTTAACTAACTCTTAGGCATCTTAAAATATAAGTATAATATATAGCTTAATTAATTTAAGAAGCGCCAGCCACACGTAGTGCCGCCGTAGTAGAACCCGCTATTTATCTGTATTAACTAGTCCGACAAGGAAGCTATTAGGGAGCACGATGCTATAGAAGCTGGGACAATATGCGTATACACCGACGGAAGCGGCATTAACAACCGCGTTAGCGCAGCTGCAACAGCACCTGTGCTCTATGCAGAACGGAAAGAATATATAGAACTATCCTCCACCTCCATAGTATACGCAGCAGAGCTTAGGGGCCTGGTCTTGGCCCTGCAAATAATACTCGACATTAACACAGCAAACACCAGCCCCGGAAGATGCGCGATATTCGCCGATAACTAGGCGGCCCTCCGAGCGATACAGAACCCTAACTGTGTCTCTGGATAATATATCCTAATCAAAGCTATACAAGCACTGGATACGCTGCGAGACCAAGGATGGGAGGTCCAGTTCCGATAGATTCCTGCACACGTCGGAGTACCAGGAAACGAAGCTGCCGATTAAGCAGCGAAGGAGGCGGCTGGCCACAACCTGAATATATACATCCACACCGAGGCACCACCGGAGCCGGATTCCCTACGGATCCTAATGGCAACCACCAAAACGGCCATCCGCAGGATAATGGAAGTCGAATAGGCACAATCCTGGGCGAAGGCCAAGCACGGGAGAGATCTCTTTAGACTGGGGGTACAACCGGGAAGAGCAACCCTTAAGATCCATACCGGAAAACACAGAGCGATCAGCTCCGTAATCACACAAATGCGCACCGGCAAGATCGCCCTCCGCGCATACCTCCACACCATCAACAAGGCCGATACCGAGCAATGCCAATGCGGGCGCGGACCGCAGACAGTACGGTATATCCTGCTCGAATATAGGGACTGGATAGAAGAACGACACAAGATGTGGGCAGGCAAGCGACCGTGTGTGAACATCAAGCGAATTCTCTGTAGTTTGTTAATAGCAGTACAAGCAGCAAAGATAATCCTCAGGACGGGACTGCTAGGGCAATTCCGGGCAGTCCCGTCCACAGTACTCACCATATAATATCGACGAGCGATTATAGGCACACAGAAGTAGAGGAGGGCCAGGAAAGCCTGACAAGTACATGGATGCAGAACAGCTAGAAAGACTATTAGTATATACGCGACCGAATTCTGGCAGAGGAGGAAGCAAACCCGCAGGAATAGCCTGGTTTGCGTCGGGACGATTCCTGTGGGCTTCTCCCCAGGTACAAGAAGTGGGAGCACATGTATTTATAGTTAAACGCTGCATAGCCGCCACTAGGGCGGCTGGGACAGCCTATAAAATCATCATCATCATCATCATTATTATCAATCAGTCAGCGAATCTGTTTACAGGGTCCTAGGACAACACAGGTCCTAGGACACTAGGGCGAGGACAGTGTTAAACAAGTAATAGTATTAACTTAATTGTGTGGCTATAGATAGGCGGGGTGCCTCATATATATATCTATTCCCATCCCCTGTCGCGTTGTCTCAGCCACCATTAACCGTAACATTTAATACTCCTACTCAATAGCTACCTTTACTAGGAAGAGTACCAGCGACCATTTATCACGGCTCTAACAGACCCCGTTAAAACCTTCAAAAACCTTTAAGGCAAAAAGAAGGAAAGGGTGCCTATATATTCTGCCTCTGCTCGAAGCTAATAGTTCGTGCGGATTACTTAATACCTAGCCCTCTCCAAAACCATTTAAATCTGTCTCGTGCAAGAGGCTTAGTAAACCTATTAGCAATTTGTGCTGTAGTTGGAACATACTTCAGTTCAACTGTTCCAGCGTCTTAAACCTCTTCTTGCCACTTACACTGGATTTCTATATACTTTGTGCGTAAGTGGTACTATAGGTTTAAGGATAGAGCGATAGCTCCCTAGTTATTGCTATATATAATTGTTGCGGCTTTTCCTTAGCCTATATTCAGCTTATTAAGAAGTTTTTTTAACTAGATTGCTTTCTTAGTTGCTTATATCTGTCCTATAAATTCTGCTTTACAGGTTAATAGAGCGACAACGCTCTAGCGCTTGGACTGCCAGCTAATTGCTCCGCTCCCGATGTTAAACAGATATCTAGCTGTTAATTGTCTTATATTGCAATACCCGGCCCAGTCTGCATCTATAAAGCCTTTTAATATCTAGAGATATCCCTTATATATAAGTCTAAGATTTTTTATACCTTTAAGGTATTATAGAATGCGTTAAGTAAGCTTTATATACTATAGCCTAGGATTTGCTAGATGCCGGCTTACTATAGAGACCGTATATATAATATCTCCTCTAGTTCTAAGTATAATATATATTAAAAATTCTACTATATATTAGTATTCCGTTTTTTAATTTAGCAGGTAGTTATATTCTAGGTAATTTTCTAGTAGTAGTAAGGTTTCGATCGGCGTACTAACAGAAGCGCAGTCGCTAATTCCGAACTAGTAAACAACCTTATTAATATAGGCTTCTTAGCTTAGGTATAGTATTCTATTCTAACAGTCTTACTAGATAGATATACCGAGATAGTAGCTATATAGTCTAAGGTCTGTTATTTAGAAACGGTTTCTAAGGCCTTTTTTAATCTTCTTAATTTCTATAATACTTAGTCTAATAATTAGGAGGTTATTAATATATACTGCGATATATATATTACTCCGTATAAAAATTCTAAGGTCGGCGTTAATTAGTTTAAAGCTAAGGCTATATAGAAAGTTTATAAGGGTTTAATACTAAATATATAGTGCTTACTTTAAGCTATAAAGCGCCTTTTAAAGTTTGCAGACCTTTAGTATACTATCTGTTATATTATAAGGCTGTTTAATATAGATTTTATAGTCTATATCCCTGTATAGAAATGCCGTTTTAATATCTATCTATTTAATTTTAAGACCGAGAGCGGCCCTAATTATAAATAGGGCTTTATAGCTTATTAGCTTAATAACTAAGGCAAATATTTTATTATAGTCGACGCCTTCCTTTTATATAAAGCCTTTTACTACCTATCTGCTTTTATAATAGATAACTTCCCTATATTATTATTATTATTATTAGGTTCTATTAGGCCGATTTAGCTCCCGTTAGGGTCCATGCGGCAGTGCTATCTAGGTTTTATTTACAAGGGGAAACCGTTCGCTCTATAGCGGTCGGGTGAAAACCTTGTTTTCTACAGTGTATAACGCCTTGCGTTCCTTTTGTTTCTGCGCGGCTGTGGGGGACGCGTGGCAGCTCTGTGAGCATCGCCACGGAGTAAGCCATCTTAATGCATTCTCCAGGATCGATCTGGTGTCCGTAGGCCCTAGGTTCTAGGGTTGTACGGTGTCCAGAAGGTTAGTAAGGTCCGGGGTCCGCGTTAGGGCGCGCGTGCCCTTTTTCTCAAAAGCCAAGGTATTGAATTGAAGGACAATAGGAAATTGGGGGGGTTGCCCTGTTGCGGGCGTGCCTGTGGTTATGCAATGTGCGTGCGTGCATGTAGTTCTGTTCTTGGGGCGTGGCTATACGAGTCGGCTGGCTGTATAGCCAGCTTTTCCGTTGCCATCTCTCTAGCTATAGAGAGGTAGGGTAGGAGGTCTGTCTGGTGCGGGAACTATTGCGAAACGGCCTTATTTCCCTTGTGGTCTTTGTACAGCTGCATATACGTTCTTGTTCTGGCCTTAAAGAACATATCGCCTCTGCCGTTGCGGTGTCGTTCACAGTGCATTACTACGTGCTTTGGAGACTGTGGTATATGCCCGCAGGGGCACGCGGGCGAAGGGTGATTGGGCACCCTCATGCGGTGCAGGTATGCGTTAAGCCCTATGTTCCGTTCGTAAGAGCGTGATAATTGAGCTCTCTGCTTTTGTAAGCTTGTGGTGTTTAGTTGCCTGATTCTTGTTCCATTTCGTGTTGAGGGCCGGCGTAGGGGGGCCCCTTCGTTTCTTCCTATGGGCCTCCCATTCGTCCCTCCACCTTTCCTCGTACGCTTCCTGTATTGCTCCTCGTCTTAAGAGCTTATACGAGTTGTCTAACTGCCCTTCGTACCTCGGGGCTAGTGCTGTGGCCTTAACCGCGAGCCTCTTCAGTACGTCACGCCGGCTCGGCTCGTATTTAGGCGTTTTCCTAGGCTTATAGTGTCTCCTAATGGTGTCTCTAATAGTGCGGCACGTGGTCTCAATATGCTCTCTAGCCTGGCCCGCGCGCGTGCGGTCCGCGTACGCCACCGCGAGTTCCTCTAGCTTAAGCCTTAGGGGGGGGCAAGAGGTCTAACTTCCCTATATAGTTCTTATTTAAGTTTAAAAACCTATTTCCTGCTAAGAACTCGCCAATTTCTAGAAGAATTAACAAGCTCCCACGTTTTATTCTATTTAAGCGAGCCGACTTTTTTAAGTATTGCTCTTTCCTATTTAGGCCAGCTTATATTATTCTTTACTTACTAAAGAGTTCTTAGCTTAAAGGGTTCTATTTCTTCTGCAGCTACTATTAAAAATATTAGGATTATATTGCCTTTAGGTATATTTATTAGTATAAGTTCCTTTTCGCTATTGCTAAATATATCCTGGATAGCCTGCAAGGCCCGGAACCTAAGTTTAGGATAAAGTTCTAGTGCTTTTTATTGCACTGTATATACTAGGTAATTAGTTTAAAGTTCTAGATATTATAGCTATTCTTTTATCGTTTAATTTTATTAAGTATTATCTTATTACTAGTTACTATTAGGTAATAAGTTGTTTTTTTATAGAATATCTAAAAATAGCCTAAAGCTATTATTACTCTATATAGGTAATAAGGTTCTGTCTCCCTATTTAGTAATAGGCTGCGAGTTTTTATTACTTAATTAAGATAATATTTACTTTTACGAGTTATTATTACTTAACTAGGTTAGCACTTATAAGTTATTATTACTTAATTAAGGCAGTATTTATAAGTTATTATTACTCGACTAAGGCAGCGCTTATAAGTTATTATTACTTGGCTAAAATAGCGCTCGCTCTAGTACTATAGATATTTAGCGCCTAAAGGCTAGTATAGATGCTTGCTATATACTTACTAGTAGTTAGCTTTAGAATTCTACTATTCTACTCCCCCCTGCGGCAGCAGCTGTTACCTTAGGTAAGCTATATTATTTCACTCCTATATTTTATATAGTCTGTATAGAGGGAGTTATAAGAACTTTATAAAATTTAGTATTTAGAGTCCTAATAATTCTCCTGTTTTTTAGTAGAATGCGGTAGTTAGTATTTTCTTTATAGCCTAGCAGAATACATAGTCTTATTCTTGGCTCTGTTAACTTCTTTTTTTATTTTAGTAGAACTAAGTATTCCCCTCTAGATCTAATTACTCTTAGTTATAATAAGTTAGGCTTCTTACTATACTAAGCTTAGTATAGTATTATATTAAGCTTTAACAATAGTAATTAGTTAGAGAGAAAAGCAGCAGTTTAAGTAATTTTTAGCTAGAATTTAGACGGGAGTTTTATATATGCTAGCGTAGGTCCAACCTAATTATAAATTATTTTATAGGCTTTTTTAGCAACGCTATTCTACTAGCGTTAATTAACGCCTGTAACTTTAGCATGTATTACCTAAAAAAAAAGTATAAACTTTATTTCTTCTCCTACTTGCTTAGGAATCTAATTAAGGCGTATCCGTCTGCACTTTTATTTAGGACGTTTATTATAATTAAAAAAGAAGCATAGTAACTTAATAATAAATTCTTATTTTTATAGTATAGAAATAATTTCTATTTAGCCAGTTAAGTTATTAATAATAGTAAGCTAGTAATAACTGCTATTAAGTCCCTTATTAAAAGACCCTGCAATATTAATATAGAGGAGTTCTATTAGATATTCTCCTCTATAGCTTTAATTTAAGCGGTTATAAGGTTTTTTAGTTATTTAACCCTAGAAATATAGGTTGCATAGTTGTTGTAGTTTTACGTCTTAAATACTATAGGCTTGCTTTTTAAGTTGCTGTAGATTAGTATTGCTTATATAAGCTAGCCGGTTATACTAGAGTATTATTTGCGGACTAATATAATAAGCTAGAAAGAAGAGATAGGTCTATAAATTAAGCGCGTAGACTTTTTAATACTGGCCTGCAGTATACAGGTTCTTTCCGTTTAATTTATTA